GGCACCCCTCTCTCTCAGAGTGAGCAGGTCAGTATTGTCCATATTAACCCCCCGCATTTCTCTCCCTGTCACTCAGGTGGGCCTGCTGTTGCTCAGCAAGGTAGTGGAGTCGAACCCGGAGCCGTTCAAGCCGCACTACCGGCAGCTGCTGCAGCTCTTCCACAGCACCCTGCAGGACCTGGCCAACCCCACGGCGCTGTACTACAGCATCCAGACGCTGACCGCCATGAGCGCCTACACCGGCACGCAGGAGCTGGTGAGAGCTCGGGCGTCGGCGACTGTGCCCCGTTCGTGTCTGCTGGCTGGGGCAGTGCTGGCATGACAAAGAGGCCTTCGAGAAAGAGTGTGGCTGTAGTTTGAACCTGGCAGGCTTGTGTCCCTGCTTTTCAGAAAAGAGCCCTTATGTGAGTTTAAAATCTCTTCAAAACGTCATAGAGCTACACCGTGACTGCACAATGTCCTACTGCAGAGTGGGATTCCTGTGTGTGTGTTAGGAAGTGTGTAATTATGGGATGTACTAGTGCACAGTGTGGTTTCACTGTGTGTACAGTGTATTGAGAGTGTGGGTAAGAAAGTGTGCGATTATGGGATGTACTAGTGCACGGTGTGGTTTTGTGTGTACAGTGTATTGAGAGTGTGTGTTAGGAAGTGTGTGATTATAGGATGTACTAGTGCACAGTGTAATTTCTCTGTGTTAGTGTGCGGTGTGTGTGTGAGGGCTGTGTGAGCAGTGTGTGTGAGGGCTGTGTGAGCAGTGTGTGTGTACAGTGTGCAGAGTGTGTGTGAGAACGGTGTGTACAGTGTGCAGAGTGTGTGTAAGGGTGGTGTGTACAGTGTGCAGTGTGAGGGCGGTGTGTACAGTGTGTGTGAGGGCGGTGTGTACAGTGTGCAGTGCGTGTGTGAGGGCGGTGTGTACAGTGTGTGTGTGTGAGGGCTATGTGTATAGTGTCCAGTCTTTCATTGCTGTGTGTTTTTCAGAACCTCATGAGGTCCATTGTCCCCAAGCTGATTGTGGCCATTCAGGAGCTGATCAAGACTGACCAGGTAAACAGTGTAGTTCACACTACAGCTGGACTGGGGGGCGCTCTTGGTGCAGACCTCATTGTAGATCACTCAAATGTCATGCCATGTACAGAGCTTGTGGAGGTTTGGCTCCTTTATTCTGGGTTGATTTCCTCCAGCACGGGCGAGCTGAAAGCCAGTACTGGCTGGTGAAGGAACTGTGCCTCGCACGTCTCCCACCAGCTACTGCAGCCACTTCAGACTGAGCTCCTGACGGTCCCCAGAGCGTCCGGGGCTTCGCTCACAGGGCTGTCCTGAGCTCTGACACAGCTTGGTCTGAAAACTCTTGTGTCCAGCTGTGTCGTGTGAGCCATGGTACTGGGAACTGAGCAGGTCTCCAGTGTGATTCCTGACCCGGATCACAGGGTTGTCTTACTCTTCTGTTCGGAATGGCTCTGCCTGCCCGAATCCCTGTCCCTGCTCGGCTCAGACAGGCCACCACTGAGAAAAGATCCTTCTTTACAAATAATTCTGTGTTATGCAGCGTGTGAGTAAGCTCGTCTCGGTAAATACATTTTCTCTTTGGTGTTGGTTGTAGTAAAATAACATGTCAAACTCTCTTGAGTTCATCATGAGATCAATTCAAATGTTATCTGCATGCTAAAGCACTGCACTTGCACGTTCAGCCAAAGTCGTTTTCCAAGACCTCGTTGTAAAAAGCAGCGTGTTCCAGGTGAGGGTGGTGTGTGGAAACGTGGGTGTCCTATCATAGGTGAGATAGGTGGTTCCCAGGCCACACACGCAGGGGAACACTTTAGAGACACCAGTTTTTCTCACCAGCATGTCCTTGGAAAGTGGATGAAACTTGGTGCCCCCAGTGAAAACCCACATAAACACAAGGGAACCTGCAGACTCCACTGAGAAGGTGTCCCAGTCCGGACTCAAGTCTGGAACCAAAGAGCCATGACACGGCAGTGCTACACACCCCACCACCTCGTTGCCCACAAGACCTTACTTGAGATCAAATCTCCAATAGTTGTTCATCAGAAAGACTCAAAAGATGCTCTGTAAAGGGCATCTTCATTTGCATGCCTTCTGTCTCAGTCCCAGGCCAGCGAGGCGATGGAGGTGTTTGACGAGCTGATGGAGAGCGAGGTGTCCATCAT